GTCTGCTTGTATGTGTGTGTCTCTTTCTGTGTGTCTGCTTGTATGTGTGTGTCTCTTTCTGTGTGTCTGCTTGTGTGTGTGTCTCTTTCTGTGTGTCTGCCTGTCTGCTTGTGTGTGTGTCTCTTTCTGTGTGTCTGCCTGTCTGCTTGTGTGTGTGTCTCTTTCTGTGTGTCTGCCTGTCTGCTTGTGTGTGTGTCTCTTTCTGTGTGTCTGCCTGTCTGCTTGTGTGTGTGTCTCTTTCTGTGTGTCTGCCTGTCTGCTTGTGTGTGTGTCTCTTTCTGTGTGTCTGCCTGTCTGCTTGTGTGTGTGTCTCTTTCTGTGTGTCTGCCTGTCTGCTTGTATGTGTGTCTCTTTCTGTGTGTCTGCCTGTCTGCTTGTGTGTGTGTCTCTTTCTGTGTGTCTGCCTGTCTGCTTGTGTGTGTGTCTCTTTCTGTGTGTCTGCCTGTCTGCTTGTGTGTGTGTCTCTTTCTGTGTGTCTGCCTGTCTGCTTGTGTGTGTGTCTCTTTCTGTGTGTCTGCCTGTCTGCTTGTGTGTGTGTCTCTTTCTGTGTGTCTGCCTGTCTGCTTGTGTGTGTGCCTCTTTCTGTGTGTCTGCCTGTCTGCTTGTGTGTGTGTCTCTTTCTGTGTGTCTGCCTGTCTGCTTGTGTGTGTGTCTCTTTCAGTGTGTCTGCCTGTCTGCTTGTATGTGTGTCTCTTTCTGTGTGTCTGCCTGTCTGCTTGTGTGTGTGTCTCTTTCTGTGTGTCTGCTTGTATGTGTGTGTGTGTCTCTTTCTGTGTGTCTGCTTGTATGTGTGTGTCTCTTTCTGTGTGTCTGCTTGCATCTGTGTGTGTCTCTGTGTGTCTGCTTGTATCTGTGTGTGTCTCTGTGTGTCTGCTTGTATGTGTGTGTCTCTTTCTGTGTGTCTGCTTGTATGTGTGTGTCTCTTTCTGTGTGTCTGCTTGTATGTGTGTGTCTCTTTCTGTGTGTCTGCCTGTCTGCTTGTGTGTGTGTCTCTTCTGTGTGTCTGCCTGTCTGCTTGTGTGTGTGTGTCTCTTTCTGTGTGTCTGCCTGTCTGCTTGTGTGTGTGTCTCTTTCTGTGTGTCTGCCTGTCTGCTTGTGTGTGTGTCTCTTTCTGTGTGTCTGCTTGTATGTGTGTGTGTCTCTTTCTGTGTGTCTGCCTGTCTGCTTGTGTGTGTGTCTCTTTCTGTGTGTCTGCCTGTCTGCTTGTGTGTGTGTCTCTTTCTGTGTGTCTGCCTGTCTGCTTGTGTGTGTGTCTCTTTCTGTGTGTCTGCCTGTCTGCTTGTATGTGTGTCTCTTTCTGTGTGTCTTCTTGTGTGTGGTGTCTCTTTCTGTGTGTGTCTGCTTGTATGTGTGTGTGTGTGTCTCTTTCTGTGTGTCTGCCTGTCTGCTTGTGTGTGTGTCTCTTTCTGTGTGTCTGCCTGTCTGCTTGTGTGTGTGTGTGTGTCTCTTTCTGTGTGTCTGCCTGTATGCTTGTGTGTGTGTCTCTTTCTGTGTGTCTGCCTGTCTGCTTGTGTGTGTGTCTCTTTCTGTGTGTCTGCTTGTGTGTGTGTCTCTTTCTGTGTGTCTGCTTGTATGTGTGTGTGTGTGTCTCTTTCTGTGTGTCTGCCTGTCTGCTTGTGTGTGTGTCTCTTTCTGTGTGTCTGCCTGTCTGCTTGTGTGTGTGTGTGTGTCTCTTTCTGTGTGTCTGCCTGTATGCTTGTGTGTGTGTCTCTTTCTGTGTGTCTGCCTGTCTGCTTGTGTGTGTGTCTCTTTCTGTGTGTCTGCCTGTCTGCTTGTGTGTGTGTCTCTTTCTGTGTGTCTGCCTGTATGTGTGTGTGTCTCTTTCTGTGTGTCTGCCTGTCTGCTTGTGTGTGTGTGTGTGTCTCTTTCTGTGTGTCTGCCTGTATGCTTGTGTGTGTGTCTCTTTCTGTGTGTCTGCCTGTCTGCTTGTGTGTGTGTCTCTTTCTGTGTGTCTGCCTGTCTGCTTGTGCGTGTGTCTCTTTCTGTGTGTCTGCCTGTATGCTTGTGTGTGTGTCTCTTTCTGTGTGTCTGCCTGTCTGCTTGTGTGCGGGTGTCTCTTTCTGTGTGTCTGCCTGTCTGCTTGTGTGTGTGTCTCTTTCTGTGTGTCTGCTTGTATGTGTGTGTGTCTCTTTCTGTGTGTCTGCCTGTATGCTTGTGTGTGTGTCTCTTTCTGTGTGTCTGCCTGTGTGTGTGTGTGTGTGTGTGTGTGTGTGTGTGTGTGTCCGTCCGTCCGTCCATTCTACCTGTAGGGAAATAAAACCTAGCATAAACTTGCTAAATCATGATGAAATATTGTAAATTCTAGCATTATTAACGGTCTTAGATATATTTTTCCCCCGTTTATTCAGCCCATCTCTCTCTTTGAAGCTTGTAGCCCAGCTGGGAGAAGTCCAACATTCACAGGCTAAAATCTTTTCCCATTTCACACGACACAATCCGCTCTTTGAACCTCGTGTAAACGGGGACCAAACGCCACTCGCTTTTGCCACAGTGTCGGTGA